TTTACTAACATACGGCTCGCTTAGCTGGTCAATTTCGTGGACCTTGCTTTTAAGAACAAAGTTCTCGCTTTGTCTGTCTATTTTTTTACAAAAGTTATTTTTAAAGCAATAAATTGCATAAAATATTGGACTTCAAAAATATAATATATGTATTTCTGATTTAAAGAAAATAAATAAATAAAATATAACAAAATATAAATATGTTTGAACATATGTGTATTTATCTGTTATTCTAAATACATATATTTTGAGTCACTGCTGAACAAACTGTAGCTGCAGCTGTACGCTCGAGCGAGCTTTTACTGTACGTGTACAAATGTATATCTGAGTGTAAATGCGCAACGTTTTCTTATCGCGCGTTTTGCTTTACGTCGTCCGGCCTATCAGTTTTCCATGCGTGTGTGTGTGAGTGTGTTTGTATTTGTATTGATTGCATTTGCACAAGAAGTGGGTTATGGCAAACTGAGCAACAAAAACAACAAATAACAACACAAAACAACAACAACAACGAGACGAAGAAAATCAATCAGCAAAGTGGCTCAGCACGCAGCGCATGTAATTAACACGCAACCAACTGTTGCTACTGTTGCCTATTGCTTGCTCCTCTTCTTCTTCTTCTTGTTAACTGTTACACACAGCTGATAGATGATTGTGTCGTGTCATGTTTGTTGTTTTTATTTATCAATGCAAGCGACACAATTACGCTTTAATTGAGTGCGTACGAGCAGCAACAGTTTATAAACAAACATGTTGCAGCAAACCAAATGGAAAGTGTGAATACTAAAGAAAAAGAAGAAGAAGAACAAACTCTCGCTCTGCCTGTCTGCACTCTACGTGCGTCTATGCGGCATTTATTTATCGATCGATGCCGTTGCCGATGGCGGTGATGTAATTTGCATAAACAACAGCAACAACAACCACATCAACGACAGCTCAGCTCTGGCAGCGACCACAGCATCTCAACATCACAGCAGCTGGCAACCACCACGTACATACATAATTTTTGGAGCGGTTTCAGGTTTTGATGCCCACCATTGCGTAGGCAGCGCAAGCGCAGTCAATTTTTGTTGTAAAATACCCTAACTAGTTGTTAAATAGGTCCTAACAACTATGAAATGCCGTTTGTTCAAGTGACTAAGCACAATCAGTCGGCTAAGAATGTATGTATATTTGTACAGACCCAACTCCAATCGTTAAAGATAAATTACTGAATTACTCCATAGGAATTTCTTAAACTTCGGTTAATGCTAAAAAGCGCACTCAGCAGAATTATAAATCTTGATAACAATAACCTAATGGGGGCTGTCGATGTCAAGTTTTCGATTACGATACCTTAATCGAAACTTTGATGAATGCTTTATCGAAATTTAGAGCTTTCTAGGAAATTCACCGCAGAGATACGCTCTGAATCAAAATCTGAAAGATTACCAGCACAAAACATTTTTAAATATTTTGATGAGAAGTACAGATTAGTATTGCGACAAGAATGTAAGCAGATAAGGCACATAAAGATTAACTGAGGCATTCAGAATCTTTCTTTCTTTCTACGGTGAACCCCAAAATAAAAGACTTGCCCTCTAATCAGCAGAAAATGTTTATTAACAATAAACCTAGTTGGGGAACTGCCTGGAACAAAAGGCCAAATTTGAACGTACTTAAAACGTTTTTACGCGACCTTCTCAATGCCAATCCCATTAATATCGACCTTATCGCTAGGCAAATACGTATTTTTGTACTTTTTATTTTGTTATGCTATAAAAATAGGCATAAAGGGTATAATAATTTGAGCAAATTTATATATATATAGAATATATATATATTCTTGTATTGTGACCAACATCTTTATAGAGTATTAGTGTTATTTCGCGTACTTGCCAATCTCTTTAAAATGTTGTTTTAGTCTGTTTCGCCGGCTAAGCGAGCAAACAAATAATAAACAGTCAATTGCCTTAAATGCCGCCACAAGCCCCGCCCACGGGCGGTTGGCGTACAAATTATAAAATTATTATAGCAAGTGCCGATTGATGAGTTAGTCGATACGATTTGCTAATTCTGCTGCGATTTGAGTCAGCAGCAGCTGTGAAATCCAAGTCTCTTCAGACGTCAGCGCCTCCTGTTCCCGCGTCACCCACCCGCCGGCCGAACCGACGCGACCGGCGAGACGAGTGTGTCATGCGGCTGGCCTGGCCTGGTCTGGCTAAAAAGCCGAGAGAGTCGGACGACGCCGTCGACGTCGTCGTCGTCATTTGCTGCTTTTAGACAATGCTACAAGTTCCTACACCTACGACCTAGAATTTGCCGAATATGTCAACAGGTATATAGCCAGTATATGTACATATATATATGTGTGTACATATATAAATTATTATATAAACGTAGACGTCGGTCGCTGCTATGCCTATATACATATTTGTTTATCTGTATATAAGCAGCAATATGTATTTTATAGCAATTGAGAAATTCACTCGGGCGCTTTCCACACATTGCAGCAAATTTAAGTTTGTTGTGACATTTTATATTAAATGCAGGCGTGGCACATGGCGACCTTGAAAAAACAAAGTATATGCAAATTAAATAGATATAAAAAAAATCATAAATAAAACTTTGTTTTCATCAAGCTGGTTTTTTAACCCTTGTTAAACACGAGTCGCATTGAACTCGTATCCTTTTCTTTGCCAGGCTAGTCCTCTGCGCCCCGCACCATGTCCCAAAGTGGCCGGAGGGTGTCAAAATTCATGCTCTTGAATTCAAGTTTGAGGCCATCTCTTTTATGCTCAATCACAACATGCGCAGTGCGTCGTTTGCTGCTTGAAATAGGCCAAGTTTGCCAACCCGGGCAAGTTGGTTCCATGGTGTAATGGTTAGCACTCTGGACTCTGAATCCAGCGATCCGAGTTCAAATCTCGGTGGAACCTGGCTTGTAACAATTTTTTTTTCATATATATTTGTAAAACAATTTTTGACTATTAGTGTTAACAGTAAGTTTTTAATTCATTACGGATTGTGACGCATTTGATTATTTTATAATCTCGTGAAATGCATTACGCGTTAAAATGTGCAACAATTGTTAATTAATGATTCAGTGTTTGCTTTGGCGATAAGCATAATAAATTTTGCAAGGCAGAGTATGAAAATCCGTAAGAAATCTATATGGAACTGAACTAAATGACCTATATTAGTACAGATACTAGGCGGTGCGAAGTAATTCACAATAAGAATAGTTCTTGACTGTGAATAATGATTGGCTCAAATAATGACGAGCAGAGTGTCCTTTAAGTAGCGCAAAAGTATGCAATGTTAAATATAACTTTCATGTATTAGTAACATTTATAGAAAAGACTTACGGATATTAGAAAATATTTGAAGTATACTATAAAACAGCACAAAAATGCATTACAGCACAAAAGAATTTGCTGACCGATAACATTATAATTCATAATGAATATTCCCAACAGCCAAATAAGAAATGGGGTTAAAACAAATAATCATTTTCGATTAAGATTGCAGAGATATGCAAAATTTTATATTTAATTAACAATGTTTAAAGGGAAGCTTGTTGTGTTAGGGCACGTTAACTATAATTAAAATGCCTTACATTAATAATTTGCTAATTATATAATAAAATAAAAGTGAATGATTAGCCAGCTGCTTCCTCTTCTCAAACAAAATATACAGAGATAAATAGAAGCTGTCTATGTGTATATGTCATGTGTATTTAGTTAGGCAACGGGGTGTCGTAAATGTGCGTGGAATTTATTAAATTTAATAAATTTATATAGCCACGCACACGCGGCTAATACATAGCCATAAATTAGAACAGAAAATTGAGCAAAAATAAATGCCAACTAAATTATTTAGGAGCAAAATAAACACGCACAATCACACACAGACGCACACACACACACACACACTTGTTCAACTTGTGCTTGAACAAACGCCCATAAGAACGCCGCAAAGCAACCCACACAAGCTGCCAAAGCTAGGCCCAGTCCAGTCCGCAGTCAACACCAACAACAACAGCAACTCAGTCAAGTGTCGGTCAGTCACATAATGTTTGTCATTTAGCTTGGGGGGCTAATTTGTAGCGCACTTTCGTTGGCAACATGTGGCAACACAGGCCGAAAACAACAACAATTGACACAGATAAGCGCAGCCAAACTACAAAAAAAAAAAACAACAAAGCTAAGTGCATTGGCGCTGTAATTTTATTAGATAAAAAAAGAGAGAAAAAAATTGTGTCAAGGGGCTGCCTGACAACCAACAGCAGAAGCAGCAGCAGCAAAAACAACAACAAGAACAATACAAATTATATTAAATTAGCGACTATTTTGCACGAAAATGTGTGTAAAAACAAGGGGGGCGAAGATGGGCGCCAAAAGCCAAATGCGAGTAGCGCAAAGCCAAAGCACACAACAGCAAAAACAACAAGCAAAAAGTTTTAACACGCGTGTAGCGACCGCGACGATGGCAGCGCAGTAGCTGCGCCGCAGACTGTCATTGCCGGCTGAACGCCCTACACATGCGCGCTGCTGCCGTTGCCGTTGCCACCGCGCTCAGTCTTCGTTGCCTTTGGCGCTCTCCTGCTTGCGAGCTTCGCGTGTCTGTGTGTGTGGGCGCATAATGAGAATGAGGTTTTCGTACGACATTGAACTCGAAATGTGGGGCTGAAGAATAGCGAGAAAAAATATGGAAACAAGAAAACGAAATTAAAGCAAATATCGTGCTGGTTTTGCTTTACCACTATGTACGTGTTATTGTTTTCTTGTTTTTTTTTCATTTCTGGCATTTTGTTTTTGCTGGGTGCCTGCCCTAAAGCCAGTAGGCATTGCCTTGCTTTTCAACTACAACAACATAAGCAGTAAAAAAAAACCAAAAAAGTAATAAATAAATTTTATTTTTTGCCAAATGCTGCCTGTTTAACGGTATTTTTAGTTCCTTTCTATTTGTTTTTTTGTTCACACACTTTACTAATTTCCCATTATGTTGATTGTTTTTTGCAGTTGCGCTTGAGAAGTTAGTGGAACGAGAAGCGATTGTATTGCAATTGATATAGGCAACAACAGCAAGTTAATAATTGTTTATAAACAAAGAAACGCGTTCACCTACACACACACACAGCAACAAAATGGTGGACTATTACAAAGTATTGGATGTGGCACGCACTGCCACCGACGGTGAAGTGAAAAAGGCGTAAGTATTGGAAGGAGCTGCAAAAGATGGCGCTCTCTTAATTACTGCTTCGAGTGTAAAACGAATGCACAATGGAATGCAACTTGGAATGCTGTTACGCCGAACGCAAAAAGCTCGAGCTTACGCGCAATTAAGAGAGCGCAAAATGCCATGCTCCGACTCTTTTTTTTTCATATTTGTTTGTGCTCTAATAAATCTCTTTCGATCGCAGCTATCGAAAATTGGCGCTCAAATGGCATCCAGACAAGAATCCGGACAATTTGGAAGAGGCAAACAAACGTTTTCGCGAGCTTTCCGAGGCCTACGAAGTCTTGTCTGATGGTAAGCGCAAAATTTATACAGGGTTGCCCATAAGTTTGTGTACTTTTTTTGGAGTTGTAATAGCTGTTGCGCACATTTGAATCTATCCGTTGTTGTTGTTGTTGTATTTAGCCCGCAAGCGACGTATCTATGATGCTCGGGCAACGCTGCACAAAACGTCAGCGAGCAGCAGCAGCAGCAGCACAAACGGTTACTATTCTCGATATCGCAGCGGCAACGGTGCATCATCGACGAGTCGTGACTACGACTATGATTATTATCCCAGCTATAGCAGCAGTGCGGCTGGGCGGCGTGGCAATCGCTATCAGGCGTTTACCTTCCGCAACTTGTTCGAGGGCACGCCGTTTCACAAACTGTTTGGTAAAAAGAGTCTCGAGACGCATATATTTTGTTTTTTTGAGGTTATGCCATTGTTAACGTAACGTTATCGTTTTGTTTTTTTATTTGGTTGTGCGCTTTTTGTATACCCTGTACCAATTGAAAATAGTTTGGCTTTGTGCAAATGTATGTGACAGCCGATCTGCGCCATGTCCATCTGTAACTATTTTATAGACCACCTGTAACTAAAATATAAACTACCTGTAACTATATTATATACTATATTTTTCGATAACACTCCATTTTCTGGTAATCGATATATATCAATTTTAAGTTATGGGTTGTTTGAGCGTATCTCGGAGCTTATAAGAGATGGGGACAATAGTATTTGATGTGTAGAACAAGACTATTTCACATTTTGTATAAGTAAGTCTTTTTCCATAAGCTTAAAAATCTTATTTATTGTTTATATATCTATATCTATATCTGATTTTTGGTATACAAGCAGTTTTATATAACAGCTTAACTTTCATTTCTATCGGACAATAAACACGCAAGTTATTGAGGAATACATTTTTATTAGTATGCAATTTATATACTTTGTATACTACATATGAGTGTAGTTGTGTTTGTATAAAGCAACATTACGATCACAACAATTTAGAGCTGTGTACAGGGTATTTTGTAGTCGGGCACACTCGACTAGAGCACTCTTGTTTTTTGGTTTTTGTTATTTGCTGAACTGACAACAACCTTGACGCGCACGAAGTTACTTTTTTCGTTTTTTTGCATAAGCAACGCGCAACTAAAACAACCACCCACCAGCCACATAATCAATATGATCCATCGTCAGCATCTTCGTCATTATCATCTTCAGCAGCAGCAGCCGCAGCAGCAGCAGCTTGTTCATCCTGTGCAATGTTGAGGCCTTGTCTAATGCCCAGCCAGCCCAGCTAGTTAATATTTTGGACTAACAAAAAGCCAACATGGAATTTAACACTTAAAAACAATATTTTTAACATGCTTTCTCGAATGCTTGCAGAAAAGAAACGCCGCATTTACGATGAGTACGGAAAGGATGGGCTAGGGGATCGGGCCCAGAGCCGCTCGCATGCCCGTCATCATTACACGCACGACTTTGATGACTTTGACATTATGGGCGGCTTTCCGTTTGTGTTCCGACCGCCCGAGGAGGTCTTCCGCGAGTTCTTTGGCGTCAATTCGCCCTTCGCCGACTTCTTTAGAGGTGCGTAACATGCATAATATTATTATAAAATATGTCAATATATCATCTTATCTTTGACCCCTTGCAGATGCCAATGGCTACTCACAGTCAAATGGCGCCACTAGCAGCAGTCGACGTCATGGCGGACACACTGGCCACAATAGTGTCAACGGCGGCGGCGCTGCTCGCCATCATCATCATCACCATCAGCACAAATTGGCGAGCCCGTTTGGTGCGCCCATGCTCAACTATTCAATGATGGACTTTTTCATGCCCACCAGCGGTTTCACCTCCTTCTCCGCCAGCAACAGTGTCGCCGGCGGTGGCCACCACAGCAACGGAGCCGTTAAGCGCACATCCACCTCAACGGTATTTGTCAATGGCAAAAAACTGATGACCAAACGGTAGGTTGCCTCCATTTCGATTGCTCGCAAATGAAGTTTTACTTGTTTTAGTTCATAAGTCCCTCCTCCTAACTTGCATGGCTCCATAAGAAAAAATGACATAGTTTAATACCCTATCCTAGAAATCAAGCTTTTGAATGTTCTTACGATCATAATTCTGTTAAAACTCTGCCAATTTACATTTGATATTCCGTTTATGATTTCTTGAATATGTTTTCCTTCAAATCCTATTCAATTAATTATAAATACCATTCTGTGTTTAAACATTTATAGTCACAATGTCTCATGGTTTTTCTATATTTTTCTATTTGCAGCGTCGTCGAAAATGGCAAGGAAACTGTCTTTTCGTATGAAAATGATGTGCTTAAATCAAAGACTGTGAACGGAGTATCCCAAAAGCTCTCTTCAATAGCGAATTAATTAAATGGGAAACAACACAAGTGGATAACAAGTTATTTATCAAAAACAAAACAAAAAAAAAAGTAAAAGCTGAAAAAATAATTCAATACGAACGCGCGGATATAACAATAACAAAGAAAAAGTCATAAATTTAAAAAAAAAAAAAAACCAAGAACAAGAAGAAGATAAACGCAGGATGAACGCTTTCTTAATGCTTCGTTGATAAATATGTTTAATGAAATTGTTCTACATTAGAATTTAGTTATGTTTTAATGAAACCGTTTATTTGGAAGGGAGCAGCAAAGGCGGGCGACGGCAACAGCAGCAGCAGCAGCAGCAGCGACAACAGCAACAACAACAACAACACCAGCAGCAGCAGCAGCAGCAGCAGCAGCAGAAACAACAACAACAACAACAAAATGGCAGTTAATTAAATTACTTGTACGGCTTACGGTTATTTGAGTGCAAATTTGATTCGAAATTCTGAACATACAGGCCAAAAAAAATTTGTTGTCAAAAGTTTCGAACAAAAAGCCTGAAATACATTGAAATATTAAAGCCGAGGTAGCAAGAGCAAAGCAAGCAAAATAAAACAAACACAACTGAAATGCTAAAAACTCTAAAGCGATTTAGTTGATAGGTTTTGATTTTGGGCGGGTTCAGTCTTATGCTGTTTATTGTATGTGTTAACTCTTTTTTATAGTTATTTCAACCGTTAGTCAATTAAGTTGCCACAATACTTATTACAAAAACCAACAAAAACCAGCAGCAACCAGCAGCGGCAGCGGCTACGCACAAAATGACCAACAAAATGCGCTTGCTTTGCTATTTTGTACATTATAAACAATGCAGAAAATAAATCTAAACAATTATACATACACATACACATAGTTATAATATTAAATTAATGCAAAAAACATACATTTCTGACATTGAATGTTTATATTTAATAATTTAAAATTTTCTTTCATAGTTGTAGTCGTTTTTTAAATGCTTAAGCTTAAGATTTTTCTCACATAACTTAAAATGAGAACAAAACAAATTATACATATATAAACAACATATTGAACAGAATGAGACACAAAACAACTAATCATAATCGCACACAACTTAATACTGTGTTTTTAGTAGATCATTCTCAGCTAAAACAAAAATAAATTGAAAAAAAAGTAAAGAAAACAAACAAAAAAAAACACTAAATATATAAAAACATGCGATGTGAATGTAAATGTAAAAGTTGTTTTAATAAAGACGGTTTAAATTGAATATTGAAATGCGCGCGCTGTGCAATTGCCAGCGTTGCCACCTATTGATGCCGTCGATTAATAGCGCTCGCTCGATAGCTGCCAGCTGACGATCGCGATAACTACTTTATTTCCGATTGCTTTCTAGTGTGCAACACTGCGCATTTGCAGAATCGCTGATAATTATTTTTATCAATAAGTGTATATATTTTTATATTTTAAACTGTATTAAAAAACATTGCATGGACTTTAAATGGCAGCATACCCACGTGATGATCAAATGAAATGGTACCACGGCCGCTTAACACGCGAGGCCGCCGACGATTTGCTAAAACAGGGTGCGTACAAGAGAGACTTACAAGAATCGCCCAAACAGTGGGAAAATTCAATTAATAATTTGTTTATTGTGCTAATTATCGCAGGTTACGAGGATGGCACATTTCTGGTGCGTGAGAGCACCACGGCAGCTGGCGATTTTGTATTGAGTCTGTTCTATCAGGTAAATGACGCACAAGTGCTCCAGTTCAGTTTGCTCGACTTGCAGATACCCTGTAACTGCTGCGCTTGTGACCGATCGGTTTAAAATTTAAAGTGACCCAATAGCTAGGCTATATAAACTGATATTTGACGATTTCGAAGAAACGAAAGGTGGATTAAATAACAAAAATTTGGTTTGTGTATAGCGTATGTCGGAGATGACCACTGCCTGTGGCATACATTAACAATGAACCAATATACCCATTCTCAATGGCTACAGGGCATAACAACAGGTTGTCTCTATGCATGTATGTGTGTATGTAACCAATTGCATTTCTGCAGGGCGAGGTCTGTCACTATCAGATCAGACGTCACGGCGAGGACGCGTTCTTCTCCATTGATGACAAGGGCCAAACGAAAATATTGCACGGCCTGGAAACGCTGGTGAAGTACTATCAGCAGGAGCCAAATGGCTTGGTTACCAAGCTATCTTCGCCACTCCCTGGCGATCCGCCGCCGCACAATACACGCAGCCAGGGCGTGACCAACCTGTTGCATCGTGCCACCAGCAAGAACGAGAGCAAAGTGGTCTTCGAGCTGCTCAAGTGTGGCAATCGGAACTTCGATGCCAAGAACAAGGATGGCCAGACGGCGCTGCATCTGGCCGCACTCAATTGTAATGAGGATATACTCAAGCTGCTGCTGAATGCGCGCGTGCAAGTGAACAGTTCGGACTCCTTCGGTTATCAGCCTTTGCATGTGAGTAGAGTCGCGCTACCAGACAGCTTTTCTTAACCTTTTGCTCTCTGGGTTTTTAGTACGCCTGTCGCCAGAAGCCCGCCAGTTTTATACGCACGCTGATTGCCGCCCAGGCGAACGTGCAGGGACGCAACATTGAGAACGGCTATGTGCCGCTGCACGAGGCGGCCAAGCATGGCAATCTGGAGGCAGTGCAAGAACTGCTGGCGGCACAGGCACCGCTGCTGCCACGCACCAGCTCCGGCGAGTTTCCCTTTGATCTGGCCAAGGAGGCTGGTCAGACGGCTGTCGAGGAGTTTCTGCTCGACTACAAGCTGCCGCCAGCCAGCACAAGCCGCGAGCACTGGTACCATGGCACACTGAAACGGGACGAGGCAGTTGCCATACTCCAACAGTTTGCTCTTCAGCTGCAGCGCAAGCAGCAGGCTACGGGTCAGCCGGTGGACACGTCGGGCTGCTTTCTGGTGCGCTACTCGGAATCGCCCGCAGCGGCGGGCTATGTGCTGACGTTGCTCAGTGGTCAGGTGGCCAAAAATTTTCTCATCTCACAAGCGGATCTCTATCAGAATGGCAACAAGCTGCCCTCCAGCGGGGTATGTAGCCAGAATCTAGTAGATAAATAGTATTTAAACAGATTTTATATTTATTTAAAGTCGAAATTTCTGTACATCGACGATGGTCCTTATTGGCCCAGCTTGGAGCATTTGGTGGCGCATTTTATGCGCTTCTCCTACGGCCTGCCGGTAAGCCTAAAGTATCCTGTGCCACCGCTGCCCAAACCGGAGTTGCCCTCCTTTGCCACCATACCGCGTGCCACGCATAAGCAACGCGACAATCACAGTGCGCCCAGCACACCGCTCAGTCCACATCCCAGCGGATCCACGCACCAGGCGCACGTGCCCGCTCTGACCATAACCAAGAAGAAACAGAAGGAGAACAGCAGCTCCATGTTCAATACGCTGCGCATAGTCAGTCCAAAGAAGAGTCTCTTCGATATGAACAGCCTGCGCAAGTCCAAATCGAAGGGCAAACGCAGCGATTCCGAGAGCAGCGTCAGCATTATGGCAGCAGCCAGAGCCAATGAGGAGCTGCAGGCGGCGGCGCCCATCATGAAAAATCTCTCCTTCTCTACGGATTTTAGCAACTTCAATGTGGACGCCGGTGAAGTGTATAATGTGCCACGTAACAATACGCCCATTGAAATGCCGCCAATTGCCAATAAGACTGAGGACGAAGTAGAGTATTTCACCAAGAGCGATGTGGCCATTGAGCGGGAACGTGCCGCTCTACTCACAGCCAATGGCTATTTGCCTACAATGGATGTGCACATGCTACTGGATCAGCCGCTCCAGCAATCGGATGGCAGCGGCAAGCAGATGTCGCGCTTGGACTCCCTAATATCCACTGGCTCCACGGAGAGCGAAATGGCGGGCTATTTGCAGCACAAGTGCAGCGGCGGCGCCGGCGGTGCCATTGAACTAAACAGCACCGAGCTGGAGGAGGCCAAGCAGCGTTTCCTAATACATCACGATCAGCTGGAACTGGATAGCGAGATCGGGGCTGGCGAGTTTGGTTCCGTGTACAGGGGCTGGCTGCGGCTGCCGGGCGTGCAACCAGTGCAACGTTTGGAGGTGGCCATCAAGACGCTGCGCGATGAGACGCAGCAGACTCTCAACAAGCAGGAATTTCTGCGCGAAGCATCCGTCATGATGCGTCTGGAGCACAAGTGCATAGTGCGTCTAATTGGCATCTCCAAGGGGGATATGCTTATGATGGTGCAGGAGCTGGCGCCTCTGGGCTCCATGCTACAGTATATACTTGATCACAGCGACGAGATGAAGGTCAACTACGAGCTGAAGCTGTGGGCATCCCAAATAGCCTGCGGTAAGCGTGTATTATAAATGATGCACTTGCTCCTTCTAACTAAACGAGATTATTTCCTTGACAGGCATGCATTATCTGGAGACGCAGCATTTTGTGCATCGTGATTTGGCCGCACGCAACATACTGTTGACCTCCCGGCAGCAGGCCAAGATCAGTGACTTTGGTATGTCGCGTTCGCTGAGCGCCGGCAGCGATGAGTATCATTTCACCCAGGGCGGTCGCTGGCCGATACGCTGGTATGCGCCGGAGAGCTTTAACAATGGCATATTCTCGCATGCCAGCGACGTTTGGTCCTTTGGCGTCACATTGTGGGAGATGTTTGCGCTGGGCGCACCGCCATATGGAGATATAAGCAATGTGGACGCCATCAAGCTGGTGGACAGTGGACAGCGTCTGCCGCAGCCAAACATATGCCCAGCGTACATCTATGCAGTGATGCAGAGCTGCTGGAACTATCATCCCAAAGAGCGGCCCACCTTTGCCTATCTCATGGAGTTCTTCAGTCGCGATCCCGAGTATCAGAATCTACCGGAGCTTGTGCAATCGGTTCATATCTAGAGCAACTACTCATCCTCCTCCCATAAACGTGCAATTTCTTTTACACATACTCCATGTATTCATTGTTGGCTTGGTTGACTCCAGATATCTAACGTATTATTGTTTTTGTAGCTCACATCTTTCCCAGCATATCCAAGCTGGTATCCTGTGAGCCTCCTCTATATATCTGTATATCTACTTGTACCATACATATACATATGTATTTTATATCTATGTGAAAAATTTGTGTCAAATAGCGAACAAGTGCCTTACATTATGTTGTAACAATTAACCGTTATGCAATAAAATTTTGTATGCAATATATTTAAGGCGTCGCTTTCGACAAGGACATTTTATTAAGTATTTAATGATGATTTTCCTTTCCTATAAGTATAAGCTCCAATTGTTCCCAACAATCTTAATGCATAATGTACTTTAAAAATCGGCAAGGATATGGCTGGGTTAGGTCTGTTATAACTCGGTCGTGTCCTTGCAGATCATGACGAGTCCTGTGTCAAAAAAATTGTATGGATCAGGACAATCATCTAGCCAAAGGACATCGATATCTTCCTTGTAGTTTCTGAGATATGGCTATTTTTCTATAAGGACATTATATATTTAGCCATATCTCTGTCATATCCTTAAGGATATCGGAAGGATATGCCATTTGGAACTCGTGGGAGGCAGTACTATCGATTGGCATTCAAGGATTCACA